CAACCATAGTGATTCTATGATTCCAGGCAAGCACAGGTTCAAACTGAATCCGGAGGCATGATCTCAGCATTTTCATGCATCTGCACCTTTTCATACATCTGCACTGTTCCACCCACCACCGCTTTGTAGAGAAGCATAAGTTACATTCATATGTAATTTATGGAAACATAAGCAAATACAAGTTGAAGTAGCCTCTTAGTGTTATCAGCATATGCAATAGCTTTTGATGAACCATAACTGAGGTATCTGCTTTTCACAGTCCATCATGGAGAACACATCTTCTCATTACAGCCTGCCACAAATTGAGCTGCATGGGTAATGTCTGCAGCCTAGCTGGTCAATTATTTCCTTCTACATCAGAAGAATGCAGGACCCAAGACATTTTGTTTTGCAAGTGCTTACAAGCTTTTGGTTATGTGTACCTGAAGTCCATCAGCATGCAAGGCCCTACTTGTCCTCTCCACTTTTATCACTGAGAAAATACCTTTGACTCCTGCATGATTAACAATGTTAAATGAACATATTTGCTCAGTGGTAGGAAGAGAAACATCCTCGTTACCCATCTCCCTAGCTCTAGATTGGACCTGAAGGCCAAAGAAAAGCTTTTGCCAAATTTCAGCCCTGTAAAGTGATACTTTGTTATGCAAAGTTCCTCTTATCTCAATTTTAGGAAGTTTCTCAGGACATAATATAGAGAAGGAAGAGAGAGAGGTAATGGGAACTGCTCATTACAACACATTCTTTTATTCATCAAGAAAGAACAGAAAAACAGTTGGAGGGACAGCAGGTGAATGGATGACACTGAACCACACATCGTCAGAAAACTGTTCAAAAGAGCTGAGCTGCTCCACAATCCAACTGCAGTTGGTTACACTGTTCTGCCAGTGTAAAGAAGCCTCAGATGTGGATATGGATCCCCAAAGAGCTTTGATCTTCTCATCACAATGTAGCTAAGGAGATGCTGAACTGGCTTCAGTCCCAGCACTAGAGGGCAAGCAAGATATTACTGCTTGCAAGTCAACATTAAGTAAGCACCAGACTCATCAGCCAGAGCCTCGCTGTGCTACTTATCAGCCACAACCACAAAACCACTTTCACTGGCTTACAGAATTGTAACCTCCTATTCTCTGATTCACAGAACCTGCATCAGACTGAAGGAAGCAGAACATTAACCTGAGCAGCCCAAGAACTGAACAGGCTCAGCTTATAGGACCTATAGGTGCTATGTTCCTACATAGATACATTGTTCAAAAGAAGTAATTCAAGACTTCAAACTAAGAGTTTTTGCAAACTTTCTCTGTTTCTCTATCCATCAGGCAAAATTTATGAAATCAAACTGCTTTGATGCTCTCAAAGTGACTTCCAAGGTCTCTTCTTCAGAGAGAAAACGGGCTTTACCATTCTCGCTGTCTACCTGGTAGGGGAGGTGCAGCAGCAGCTTCCTGTAAAAGAGGACACAGGTGAGCAACCAAGATGGCATTGCAAGTTATTCTTGCACTTTGCCACTGAGTATTCTAAGGCATGTTGTTTCAGTGTATCTCATTCTCGTGGCAGGTTCCTGCAATACCTGGTGCACAGCTATACAGGCCCTGAAACACTTCCAGCACTATTCCTTCCTTGTGGCTGTGACTATGACAACGGTTTCCAGTGATGGATTGTGGGCTCTCTCCACTGTCCTTGCTTTTGCACAGTGCTGCAGAGGAAGAAGGAGCTGCATTGATAACGCTCTCCTGGTGGTAAAGATCTGAATAATGCCTAAAGCCTGAATGTATCTTCAGGAGTTTTGTCTTTTCTAGAAAAAAGAAGTGGTGCAGCCTGATTAGAGATTCTGGCCAGTCCAGTTTCACAAAGGATACGTGTGCACTGCACAGCACAGCTCAGGTATGAGAAAGGACTTAAAGTTATGAAGTTGTTAGGATTTTACCTTAACATTGAGGACTAATTCAGTGATCCCCTACCTGTGGCTCAAGGCAGATAAGGTACAAAGAAAGGCTGGAACTTGGTCTCAGGAACTATTCCATGGTCCCTTGTTGGTTTTTTTTTTACACATAGAGCTTTTCCTGGTTTATCTGCTCACAAGGATGTCTCAGTCCAGACCCATTCAACACTTCTTACTGACAACACATTGAATTTACTTGCTCATGGACTCTTCCCCCTCTTATCTGACGCTTATGTATTAATAACATAAAAGATGAGCCAGTCTTGGCCTTCCACTCTATTGACAGTGCAAAAAGAACCAAGGACACTTTAGAATGAAGAATTTTGCTCAGCCAAACTCTGCAAAGCCCAACAAGACAACGCTATAGCATAGATAGAAGTTACTTGCTCATTCTTTTTCGGACCTTTTCGGCCGTCTTGTAGGAGCCATAGCTGAAAGAAGTACAGTCAAAACACCTTTGCACCACAATTACTGAAGGCATCCGTTTGCTGTAATTTGGAGAAGTCCTTAAAATCAGCTTGGCTTACTATCAGCCACACAACTACAGAGTTGGCAACAGCTCTTCTGAGCCCTCCTACACACGTGTGAAAGTACAGTGTTTTTCAGTACGTAGATCTTGAAATCCTGTTTGTTTCTTTCACACTGAGAAGACTTGTGCTTACATTTCTGAAAGCAGCACTGGCTCAGACTGCACTCAAGCAACCATTAGATTTACACCACTCTCTATTTGCCAGGCTTGCAGCTACAGACAGATGGATGCTATGAAGATAATGACATCTTAGTCACCAAAAAGACAGATTTGCAAAAGAAAAAGGATGCTGAGATTTTCCTGCATCTGAAGTATTGTATTAAGCTACCTCTTTACTACCTATAGATTCTGCAAGTCATTAGCCAAACAATTATTCCTCCTGATTTTCCAGTTTCAGAGCTAGCACTTTCAAACATTCTTCTATTTCTGTTGCATCTTTGTGTTAAATCCAAGCAGTGAGTAACTGTCCCATCCCAAATTTGTCTGTAAGAAAGGTGATTTTCCTATAGTTAGTCCTCCAGGGACTTAATTCATGGCCTGCACTTCAGATTTATTTGCAGAAAGCTATTCATATCTGGGTATTCCCACATCCCGTTCAGTGCAGCAAGTCAGCTCAGAGAGGATTAAGCTTTCTTATGAAAGCACCCTTATTGTGAAGGACTTAAAGCAAAACAGACATGGGGTGTCTGGAAATGTCAGTCAGGGCAATTACACACTGAGGGAAATACGGAGGAAGACTGAGAAGTCTGAGTGTGTCTCAGTCAGTTGATTATCTTTGTGGGCTTTAAATACCCCTACAAAAAAAGAACTCAGAGGAAAACTCTTTAGAAAAACCTCGTAGCATTTCTGTCTCAACACCTATCCCTGGATATGTCCACAATTTGGCTTTCAACTTCTGAAAATGTATCCATGTATCTTTCACCATCTTCACTTATCTATTTGTACCAATTAATATTTAGAAAGCTAACTCCTCAAGATTATGGGAACTTTTTTTACAGACGTTTTGGGCCTTTGAAGCCTCGCTGTTTAAATAGCAAAAAATTGTCTTAAAGCTACTTCTGCTAGAACAGTATTACAGATTCAAAGCTAGCACACTATATACCCATAGACACACTATGGCTGGTTTTGTCTACATCTATTTATTATGTACAATTAACAATCTGATCTTAATTTTTAGCTTTGCTTTCCACAGAGTAGTCAGCTGAAGGCTTGGTTAAACCTCCTTTCAAGTAGTAACTGTACTTCTATCAGTTGTGTTTCACTTACTTTTTGGGAGTTCGAAGGTCAAGAATCTTGTCCCGGATATCTAATGTGATGTCTGAGTACTTTGTCTCTGGCAGCTTGATTTTAACCTGAAACGATGGGCAGGGCTATGGGTAGATACATAGCTCTACAAGCTGTAGAAGATCTCATCTTTATGAATATTTTAATGCTGGCATCAAAAAGCAACATTCTGAGTAGGCAATTTTTACCAGAGAAAATAGGACAGTGACAATAATTGCTTTCAGTAGCTTAGCGATGTATATCAATACCCTATTTTCTTCAAAATCCTAAGTTGATAATGTACTTGACAGGTATTGCTACATACAGCAAAACCTCCTGGCTTTGTGTATTCCAAGGACAGCTTGCTCCTACTAGGTAAACAGCACAGGCGTTCTACCTGTCCTGACGTTCAGAAAGGGAGGTATTTGATCATATAATTGTGGGACAGGACCTCGTACCTGTAATTTAAAGACTCTCAGTATTGTGGCACTCTGCTCACTCACATACCGTGTAATAAGTGCAGGCATAAACATTTCCTTCCCAGCCCCTCTCTCTTCCAAAATTGTATCCAAGATGAACTTCATCTCGGAGCCAACATCCAAGTGTAAATAACCTGTACAAATGCTTGAAGGACTACAAGAAAATCCTACAGGAGGCCAAGGGCAGAACACAGCTTGGTGTCTACACTCTGTCCTGCGAGTAGACGGCAAG